TTTTTGCAAAGGGTGTTAGATCAGAAAATATATCTAAAAGGGTATCTGGCAGGTAAATATATAACGAAAAGGTGATTTTTGGGGAAAATCGCCTACGAAAAAAACAAAGCATATTGTTTGTAAGATAAAAGAATTGAAGACAAACTGGTTTTGATTTACAGGTGTTGTAGTATCTTATTATTATTATTATTATTATTATTATTAACTACTTGTATTCGATCTATTGATCGACTAATCCAAATCGAGTATTGCTGTAACATCCTCAATACCGGGTTAGTGACTAAATTATAAAATTTTAGAATTTAGTGATTTAAAGTGGAAAAGTTGAATGGTTCAATGACTTATTTAAAATAATATCTGAAGGGTTACTGGTAATTATTAAAAGAATGAAAGGGCAAAATGGTCATTTAATAAGGAAATAATTAAATAATGGTTTGTGCGTATTATAATACCCATGTGAATCATAATTGAGGAGATAAGTTTCCAGCTTATCTTCTTCAATTTTTTCTCTTCTTCCAACCGTGAAGCCTCATAGCCAAGGTGAATTGATTTTCTTATGGTTAATTTCTGGAAATTTCAAGAGGGTTTTGATTCTTTAGGTGTTAATTAAGCTTAAGGAAAGCTTAATTTGTTTTAAAACGACAAGATGAAAGGTATATGAGAGATTAAATATTAGGGGTTCTTAGATGAAATCTTGAAATAAAGTTCATAATAAGAATTGAAAGTTGGATTTGACTTGTCATAAGTGTGAATAATAAGTTATAAGTGTTAGAAATAAGTTTGGATTACATGGAAATTTTGGTATGATTCTTAGCCTTAAGAATTTGGATGAAATAAAGGAGATTATATGAACAAATAGTATTAATATGGCACATAAGATTTCATGATTATGTTTTAATGTAATAGAGGGAAATAAGTCCAATGATAGTGAAGTATGTGAATATAGTATATGTGTTATGCAATATGTGACAATAAGATATGAAGTATAGGAAAGGATTATATGAGTTATATGAAAAACATGATTCAAAGTTATGTGATTTCATGATCACAAAAGATAAGTTATGTGATGGGAATGATATAATAAGAAGCTATGTGATAAAAAGATATAGATTTATGTGATATAAAAGTGTGTATGCGAAATGACATGATAGGTGATAAAAATCGTAAGCCTATATGGATATGTGATAGGAATGGTAATATGTGAAATGATATGCAAGAGAATGCCTATGTTATGTTATACGAGAGCTATAAGTATAGTTGTTATGCCAAGAGTCGATGGTTATCGATGTCCTTTGAGACATATGGACAGATTTTACCTATGTCTTTCGGGACATATGGACAGTATTACCTATGTCTTTCGGGATATATGGACATTATTACCTATGTCTTTCGAGACATATGGACAGTAGTACCTATGTCTTTCGGGACATATGGACAGAATTACCTATGTCTTTCGGGATATATGGACAGTTACCTATGTTCCTAGGAACATATGGATAGGTCCTTTGGGACACAGATTTCATATGTAACTTAGTGAATTTTATATGAGATGTGGTGACAACATAATTTTACACAACCTTGTCGTATTTTTATACCTTGAGTTCTCAACAGTGTACATGGGCTAACAAAGAAATTTAATAAGTATACTGAATATGAATTGTTAAACGTGTTGATAAGGATATATGTGCATGTGGGTATATGTTACAGAAATGATATATGTTTTTTTGTTATGATATGATAGTAATAAATGTTCATGCATTAACGTTTTATGGTTTCCATTATATGTTTTATATGCCTCACTAAGTCATCGACTTAGCGTGTGATTGTTTCACACGTAGGTTTGGAAAGCAAAAAGAGAAGTAAAGAGGAACAAGGCAGGTCAGTTCTCCTTACCAAAGATCAGATCAGGAATGTAGTTGAATTACACGTATTTAGTTATATAGAATTGAGTTGGCATGTAATATAAGAGATTTGAATCTGATATGCTCTAATTGGTTTTGTAAAATTATATGATTGAGTTTTGTAAGGTTTTAAACGTGTATATGTAAATGGTAATTTTATACGGATAGAAGCTTAAGTTTTTATGAATTTATATGTATTTTTACGAAAGTTACTGTAGCATTACTGTAGCAGTGCATCGATGCACTATAGTAGTATATCGATACACAATTGATATTCGAAATATTTCACTGTTCATGATATTGTTCATTACTGTTCACAGTACTGTTTATACCATATTTTACTGTTTATAAATACGTTTTTGACTTTAATTTTTATACTTAAACATAATTTAATAGAATATTATGGTATTTTCTTAAAAAGAGTTCAAATGTTTTGATAATTTGCAAGAATATCATTTTTAAAAGTTAATGTGACATCTCAGACTCGTATCTGTGTCGGGTACGGGTTGGGGTGTTACAATTGCAGTATTGAGGATGACCCTCCCAACCTATCTTGTTTCATTCCCAAATTCTAGGATTCGAAACCAATATCTTATTAATAGTGAAAAGAATCATTATACATAGTAATTTATGTATAGAAATCTTACTACATTAATGGTTTTTGCTTGGGGTTGGATGAGATATGGACTTAATTTTAAGCGGCTTAACCATATATATAGAGGTTAGATGTTGGATGAAATATTAGTAAACCAGAGAAGAACACATCATTTAAAGTTAAAATCATGATAGATAGCTTTGATTTTTTTTTCTGAGTTGATGAACCTAAATGGTTGAATTCTAGCTTGCCACTCACCCACCCTATACATTAACTTACAACACTTGTTTAACACAGTTGCACACTCGCCTACTCATCATATTTCATTTCTTTCTTATGAAATTGTAACAGTTGGTATACATCAATATGGACAGTATTCACTCAACGCACAACAAAAATCTAAGATTGGCCCAAACTAAACCAAAAGTCTGGGCTTATGTATAAAGCTTAAGCAGGCCCTTCACCGTCCCCTGGCATAGATTATTGGGTAGACTACGTATTTAGTATATAAACTATCAATTTTGATTTGTTTTAATATCTAGACTTTTAATTTTTTTAAAATCATACCTAATGTTTAGTTTTTGTTTCATTTTAGTACCCGTCGTTAAAAACTTAACGTGTTTAGTACTTAAACTATCAATTTTAGTCCGTTTTAGTACCTAAACTTTTATTTTCCAAAATTTAATGTTAAATTTTAAACAAGATACTAAAATGAAACAAAAACTAAACTTTAGGCATGGTTTTGAAAAAATTAAAAGTTTAGTTACTAAAACATACCAAAATTAATAGTTTAGGTACTAAACGCATAATTTACCCTAGATTATTTTTGGCACGTGGATGATTCTATAGGAGTGAGTTTATGATTAAGTTGAGTTAAGTTAAAAAATTTGAGTTTTTCAAGTTGATGAGTTGTATTTTATGATTCAAACTTAATTTGAAATTTTTTCAGAGTTTATGAAATTTGAGTCGAGTTAAGTTGTTCGGGTTTCTATACAAATTTAATTGTAATTATTTATAGTATTGTGATATGGATTGATTCCAATTTTTTTTACTTTCTATAACCATATAATATATATACATATTCTTTTGCAAATTATAATGTTATTTAATAAATCAAATACAATCTTAAATTATATAATATATTTATAATATTACATTTTAAAGAATATATTTTGAGGGTAACGGATTGATAAGAGTATAAAGGAGTCAAGTAATGATGTGAAGAAAGAATTTACAAGCAATTGTATTGAAATTATCAAATTGAGTAAAATACAAAGTGAATAGATTAAATTAAAAAAAAAGAGTACACGTTTAGTAAAAAAAATAGGAATCAAAGTTACATAATTCTATAGTTGTAGGTAGGGGTGAGCGTTCGATCGAGTTGAGTCGAGTAAAAAAAATTTGAGTTATTCGGGTTGACGAGTCCTATTTTATAACTCGGATTTGATTTGAAATTTTTTCGAGTCGAGTTGGTTTTATAAAATTTGAGTCGAGTCAAAATTTTGAGTTTCTATTTAAATTTAATTATAAATATTTATAATATTATAAAATTATTTAATTCTAATTTAAATGATATTTTATAATCATATACAACATATATATATATATATTGTATTTTTTTCATATGTGATTTACATATACCATATAAAGTCAACGAACTCAACTCAAACTGCGACTTAAACTTGAAAATCAATCTACTAATTACAAAAACTTTTGAGTTATTCAAGTTGTATTTTATAACTCAATTTGAATTTGAATTTTTTTTGAGTCGAGTCGAGTTTATGAAATTACAATTTGAACTCAATTCGAGTCTAGTAAAAAAATTCGATTTTTCGAGTCAAGTCGAGTTTTGCTCACTTCTAGTTGTAGGGGAGCATGTTGCTCAAATTTGATAAAAAAACGAATTAAAACCATTAACTCAAAAACCGACTTGACATTTCGAATCGATTCGAACAACTCAAAATTGAAAAAAAATAGTTAAATCACTTTTAATCACTCCTATTCTATATATCGATGACCAATGCTATTTTTCTAATAATTACAATCATAATAACAACGAATTAACCGAACTAATTATTCCTTGAAAAATTAACAATTAATTAGTATAAGTATTAATTAAACTTCAATAAATCAACAAAATCAAATATTTATTGCTTTCTTAGAAGATAAGTAAATTTTTAAAACTTGAACTCATCTGAAATTGGACTGTTCTTACCATTATTTTGTTTTTCTTCCTCCTTAAGTTTGCCTCTTCCCCAATCTTACCATCACAAAATCCACATGACCCAAACTTGTTCATACTTCCATGGGCTTGGAACCATTTGCATACACGTAAAAGACCCCTAGTTCTACACGTCTCACTTAATAATTTTCTTTGCATTTCCCCAGTTTTTTTTTTCTTGCCTATAAATAAGCTTATCAAGAATCAGCTCAAAGTAGATTACAAGCAAATCCTAAACCCCCAACCCTCATTCGATCTAAAGCGAAGAGAAAACCCAGGAACAATGTCGCAGAAAGCAATGGAAGTGGTGAAGAACTTGGACATCAAAAGGTACATGGGAAGATGGTACGAGATAGCTTCGTTCCCGTCAAGGTTTCAGCCAAGGAATGGGGAGAACACAAGGACTAACTATACTCTGAACCAGGGTTTCAAATCGCGGTCGCGGTCGCGTTTTCAGTTATTTCGGATTTATCGTGATTGCGGCCGTTGAGGGCGTTACGCGGACGCTATTACGGCCGTCGCAGGTAACTCGGACAACGGCGAAACCGCTATATCGCGACGCGGTCGCAAACCGTTTTTAAACCCTGCAGAACGAAGATGGAACAGTGCATGTGCTTAACGAGACTTGGAGTGACGGCAAAAGAGGGTACATAGAAGGCACCGCCTACAAGGCTGATCCCAGGAGTGAGGAGGCAAAGCTGAAGGTGAAACTCTATGTTCCTCCTTTCTTGGCCATCATCCCTGTTGTGGGGGATTACTGGGTTTTGTGCATTGATGATGATTACCAGTATGCTCTCATTGGTCAACCGAGCTGGAATTATCTTTGGGTATGTATGTGGTTTCTCAATCTGGTTTGTAGCAATTGGAGTGGTTGATGATTGGTTGTCTGTTGTTGTTGTTGTAGATATTATGCAGGCAGACACATATGGATGGTGAAATCTACAATCAGCTGGTGCAGAAAGCTGAAGCTGTGGGCTATGCTCTGAGTAAACTGCACAGGACCCCACAAAGTGATTCTCCACCACAAGTAGATGACACTACCAAAGGCGTTTGCCCATCGGTTTTAGGGTGGTAGAAATCATTAAAATAAATACTGCATTGTAGAATGGTTTTGCGTGAACTCAATATTCCCATGTTGCGGTTGTTCTGTAAAGAAATAAGTTGGTTTCCAATTGAAGGTTTTAACTGTGAAATTCTCATCAGGTAATAAGCAATTTTGGTTAAAACTGAAGTGCTGTTATTTGGAGCAACCTTGTTTCGACTCTTGCTGTTGATCCTGTATTCACTTTTTAAGCCCTAACCAATGCAAACGGCTAATAACAATAATCGTAATATTATCTCCCAAAATATATCATTTGTATGGAGTTGCCCTTTAACATTATTTTTTGAGATATTTTATATCCTAAAGTTTAAATCGTTACCTCATTTATCCTAACTCATTAACTCTATTAAAAAACACAACTATTTATGCGATTATATTTTTATCATCCAATTATTTTTTTTTAAATTATTATTAAACTAATTTTTTTTATTACTCAATTATTTATACATTTATTTTTATATATATTATGAACTCGAACCCAGTTTAAAATATTTATCCCTCTCTCATCATCAACCGTTCAATTCTTTCCCACAACCTTATTAACCCCTTCTCTTATTTTACTTTAGAACTATCAATGAAATGTAGTGAAAAAATTTGAAATTGTATAAATTTTAAGATATTGGGAGATATACATATTTAAATCGGTGTAAGTATGTGTTGTGTTATACTTTTTTATATATTCACTTACACCAATATAAGTTTGTGCTAATTACAATCGTAAAAGATCGAAAAAAATTACATTATGTTTTACATCAATAAAGCGCCACAAAATATTTCTACACATTATAAGTTTTGGCCGCAAAGTCAAAATGCATAATCCTGCATATCAGACTTTGTCGTTCAAATCTATATCAGCTTATGCCCTCTACCGAAGTAAGAGGAGGAAGCTGCATGGTTTTGTATTTTAAAATATGCTTGTGCCAGCTCTTAAAGTGATCCATGTAATGCTTGGAATACCTCATAAATGCGTTGCATATGGTGCACCCCTTCAGCATTCTCATTTTGAAGAGATGACCACATGTTTTTTCATTTCCCCATTTTTATTTTGCTTTTGCAATTAGGAGTGACTAAATGAAACAGCATAAATAGTTGAGTGACTAAATGTATAATTTACCCTTATATTTTTAACATAATTGATGATTTAGGACAAACGATATAACAATTTAAATTTTAGAAGATAAAACCTATTAAGAAATACTTTAAAGGGAAAACGAGATAACAACTTAAATTATATTGATCAATATCGATCAAACAATTTAAATTGTTACTTTTTTATTTTTAAAATTGATTAAATTATTTTTTAAAAGAAACGAAATCGAAATTATAAGCAACTTAAGATGTCTTTTAAACAAGGATTTTAGAACCACTATTTCTCAGGCCTAAACAAAAGTGGTGAGGCCCAATTGTTTTTAAGTAGCAAAGTCCAGTTGATAATAAATAGGAAAGGCCCAAGATTTTTCCAAGTAAACATTTTAAGGTAAAATACATAAATAGTTCTCCGACTAAAAGTTGTAAAATAATTACCCGATAATGATATGTTCTAAATTTGTCATTTTTCGTTCAAAATAGATGGCAGTCTGAGTTTAATATTAACCTAGTATTGTGATATGATAAAATTTGATCTCATATTCTCAAAAAGCACACAGTTCAAATCGTTCTCGAATTATATTTTATCATATCTTAATTAGTAGGTTAGCGTTCAATTCAGACGATGGTTAATCTTAAAACTGAAAAAGATGAGTTTAAAAACTATAAATAGTCAAATGACTCTTTTATAATTTTTAATAATTGACATATTCAATAAATTTTTTTATAACTTTTAATAGTGGAATAAAATAGCATTCTAGTCGAGGGACTATTTGTGTCATTGTGTGCTTTATCCTATCTTTTATATCACAAATTTAACCCTTTCTTTTAGTTGATTTTCTCCATCTCCAGATTTCCCTCCTCAGATCGTTGAGAAATCCTAAGGCTCGTATGCCGTAATCAGGTAATCCTATAAAACAATTTGTTTATTTTTTTCCATTTGTAAATTTGCTTATAATTATTTGAAAATACATGGTCAATTTTCTTTGCAACATCGTGGAAATTCTTTAGAATATGAAGTTTTCTGCTCATACGAATTTCTGGGTTTTGTTGGAATCCCAGAAAAAAAAATTACATTTCTTTGCTTGATCGTGATGATAGTAGTTAGATGGGTTGTCTTTAGTTGCGTTATTTACCATTTGATTGGAAAAGATAATTGACATGATCTTGTTCTGGAACAGTGATGTGTAATTAGTGAAGGTCTGAAATCTCTAATCAAGTTATTTCTTATGTTGGGTTAATTTTACTGGTTTGAAATGATAACTTTGGAGCTCAAAGTGTTGTTTTTTCATCACTGTGAACACATCCGTTTCACATAAAGTAGCAGGTGATTCATAAGGCTCTTTTTCTCCTTTCTATTCTATGTTTCCCTTTCAGTTACCAGTAACCCCGAACTTAAATAAAGTACCAAGGCCATGAACTGAGGTAGTATCCTTTGCGGCTTTTCCAGCCAACTTCTTGACTTCATTTAACAAGAGGTGCTTAATTTTCCTGCACTAAACATTCGCTGCCGCAGCCAACGTTAACCAATCCCTTCATTTTCCCCACAAATTACATGCAACAAACCTATATTCGTTTATACATTCTCCCTGAGTGCAGGTAACACAGACACGTTGGAAACTGGAGCCAGTGTCCAATGCATTCTGTAACTGCAACTCATATACTTTGTTTCCATGTCTCTAGTCCGGACCAGCAAAATATGATCTGATACTGATACCCAAGCCCTTAATGCAAATAAGGATTTTCTTAAACAACAGGAGATGCTTGGACTTTTGTTTTAAGTTTCCAGCTTCTCCTGCAGATAAGACAACCATTTTAGATTTAAAGTTGTTTTCTCTAAGAATAGAACCTGCTAAACCAACTCTTAGGGGATGGTCCAATCGGTGGAGGAGTACTTATTTAGAGTTTTTTTAGGAATGCAGCTTCTATTTGATTCTTGTGATCTTAGCTATTTGGATTTATTGCAATTAAATTCTTCAATTCTAAGGGAGAGATCTGAGACTGGACTAAACTGCTCTGGCCAAAGGGCTTTTCATAAACAAATGGTCAAAGAAGAAAATAAACCCAATCAGCTAATTTATCAGAATTAAATTCTTCAATTCCTCAAAATGGAGTTAACTGTGAAATGCATGCATAGTTTCATTGCATTTCACATATGTGATAGCTGATTCATTTTTGTCTGCAGTTTTCTAGCAGCCAAACAGAAAACAATATTTTTATTTTCCTGTAGAAAATGATTGGAGCTGGGAAGATAAAGCAATACCCAAACATCCTTGAGAAGCCCCTCAGCAAGGGAAAACAAGAGGTTCCCTCTACTTCTTCTGAAATGTATCAAAATAAGATATGAAGTTTAAACTAGAGACTTGTTTTTTTCTTTTTCCTTAGTTTAATTATTTAAACAGTATATTCATATTGTTAGCCATTAAATTAGTTGAAAATTATGACCTAATTACACAAATTAGTCTCAGAATAATTAAAAAATAAGTTCATTGAGAAAATTATTTAGAAAATAGAAAATTTTACATAAACCAAAACAGGAGTAGGTTTTATTGGGGATTTGTTTTATCCATTTTGGAGTCAAAAATTCAAACTGTTGACTGTTGTGCTTCTGGTGCAGGTTAGCTTGAGTGCATTTGCATTCTTGTTTTCTGAGCTTGTTCAGTACAATCAAACACAGGTTGATAACATTGCTGAATTAGAAAGAAGGTATTTTTTTATGTTTGAGATCAGATAATTTATAGAAGATTTCGAAAATTGACCAAACATCCTTGTTTCACATTAAAGCAAATGCTGGGATTATGCTTAGTTTAGTCAATGATTCTTCAATTGTCAATGAATCTAATATCATTCATGGTAATTGATCAGGCTGGACGATGCAGGGTATGCAGTTGGGGCTAGAGTTCTTGAACTTTTATGCCATAGGGATAAGGTACAACACATTCATAGACTATACTGAGACTGCTATATCAACAAGGTTCTCTTTTTTATTCTTTAGTAGCATTCTTTAGGTATTACTTGCAAGTTGGCCATCTACCTTGTTAAAGTAGTCTTGGTTCTTATAATTAATTAGGTGAGAAAATTTTGATGTAATATAAGGACGCTGGCCTAACTTAGCCTGGTGCTGATATCTCAATTAAGTTTGCTTTTATATTTTGTTTCTGGGTTTAGCAATGTGTTTCCACACGTGTGCTTATATGTGCATATTCTCTTTTATGCAACAGGGAAACAGAAGGGAGACATGATTGTTGGGTATTTTATCTTTTGTGCACAGCACTGTTTGGAAGGTGTTATTTGGAAAGGTAACAATCTCGTCTAGCGGTGTAATAATTGATAGTTTGATGATATTTTCATACAGAATTTGTTAGTCTCCCATAAGTTTATAGGCGTGATAAACCTAGCTGGCTAACATGTTTGGCATGTGATTAAAATCAGTTTAGTCTCAAGTTTAGCGCTTGTCTTACCACTTACCAGCTCTTTTTCGTACTATGTTAGGTGGCTGATTCACTTGAACAGGGCACTGAACATGAAGATGAATACATGATCAGTGAAAAGGACCTCCTTGTCAACAAGTTATACACTTTTCATCACTCATCTCTTGTATTGCAATTGTTTCTACCAACTTGACCTCTAGTACTATATTAATAATCAACTGTTTTGTTTGCATTGTAGGTTTATTTCAGTTCCAAAAGGCATGGGAACATTTAATTGTGGGGCATTTGTTGCTGGAATAGTGAGGGTAAGTTCTGCATTCATTTTGTGTATAAAATGACTAATTGTTTGGTGGAAGTTCTTATAGGATTTTCTTGTTGGTTTTGGAAGGGTGTTTTGGATGGGGCAGGATTTCCAGCAGTAGTAACAGCTCATTTTGTACCCATGGAGGGGCTGCA